AACAGTCCAAAAGTAAAGAAACAAAGGATTCCCAAGCGTGGGATTCGAACCCAGAATCAATGGTTTTAGGAGTTACAATGCTTTATGAATTCGGCTACTGGGCCGTTACGGTTATACACAATGGATTCACACGTACGTGATGTATAATATTAATCTGTACGCCATCTATTGATGAATAGAATTTTTATAAATTTGTTTACTTTTTAACTTTTTTGAAAATGTTTTGAGTTTCAGCAGAATCACCTCCAGAACGTGCTGATTCTGAAATAATATTTAGTTTTCCTCTAGGCTGGCGGAGTTATCTAGTTATGCGCGAACACACTAATTCGGCTGAACAACTTTATATATACTAGCAGACTAATACCGTACAACGACCAAATCGTGCCTTAAAATATAAACTTCATGTAAGTGACAGCAGTTTAAGTTAAATATTTCATGCGACTGAAAAGAAAACAGAAACAAAAAACATATTTGGGAAGAAACAAAGAGCATAATTCTTTAAGTGAGGGGCAGGGGAAAAAGTGCTCAGTTGGTGACCTCATTGGTTGAAAGGAAAATAGCGCAAAATCTGTCTATCTATCTATCTATCTATCTATCTATCTATCTATCTATCTATCTATCTATCTATCTATCTATGTATCTAGCCATGCATCCATCCATGCATCCATCCATCAGGCCAGCCATCCCTCCATCCATCCATCCATCGCATGTCATGCCATGCCATGCCATGTCATGCCATCTCATCCTATACAATGCCACCCCATGCCACAATGCCATCCATCCCATCCACATCCCATCATTTCTATCCCACCCATCCCATCCCATCCCATCCCATCCAATCCCAAACAATAAAAATAATGAAGAACATGAAAATAATAATAAAATAATAATAGTAGTAAATAAATATAATAGTAAAAAAGATGAACGATGTTAAAGGCGAGCTTCGGCGCTGCGCTCGTCTGTCAGTCCATAAAGCACATCGCGCGGCCCGGATAGAACGCCCAGTTGTCGAGCACGACGACTTGCACGATCGCGAGCGCCGCCGACACCGACCACATGCCGACGACGGCGATGACGCAACGTCGTTTCGTCACGAGCAGTTTGTACTGGTGCGGACGCACGATCGAGAAATAGCGCTCGACGCTGACAGCGATGATGCATAACACGGATGCCGTGCCGCACACGCCGACGCACTGAACGGCCAGCGACCGACGGCCGCTGCCGCCTGCATGAGCGGCAGACAGATGACGGCCGTCGCCAGATCGGTGACGGCGACGTGTCCGATGATGAAGAGATTCGGACGAAAGAGGGGGCGTTTCTTGAGCGTGGTGTTGATCGCCCAGACGACGACGATATTACAGAGCACGCTCGCTGCAAGCACGACCGTCAGGTAAGCCTCAGAGACAATCTGTTCTGCGTCGCCAAACACGACGCTCGATGCGCATGCGCCGATCGTGCTGCGGCCGCTGACGTCGGCATCGTCGGACCACGTGCAGTTGGGCGTCGTCGGCGACCCGTCGGTCGCCTTCATGCTTTGATCAGCCGCTAGCCGACGATGTCACTTTACGAACGAACCGATACCGTCCGCTACATCCGAATCAGGACCAACGACGTTACTTGCCGAACAAACCGATACCGTCCGCTACATCCGAATCCAGACCGACAGATCCGTCTGATACCGGACCGACGACGTTACTCTCAAGGCAACGAGCACATAGGAGACGGCAAGACTTCAGTTCGGTTGCTGTACGATCTCGATGCAAGCACTGATCGCGAAGAAGTGCGCACCGTACGGCGCACAGGTAGGTAACTACGCAGCTAACTAACTCACCTCACTGAGATGGCCTCCTGGCGGTACGTGCGTGCAGGTGGCTCGGCACGTGCGTGCACCATACGCATGAGAGACGCTCACATCACCAGTAGTGCATGCGCGTTGCCAAGAACGCACAAAGGTGCGAAGAGCGCGTTAGAATGAAAGAACGTACGTCAATGGGAAAGTTTTACACGCTTGAATGCCGCCAGTTACGCATGGTTACGTAGACAATGATGAATGTGTTTGTACGTCAGAATGAATATATGGTGTTCAGAGACTAATGTGACGTATTTAAGAATGAGTTGTCCGTCGAATGTACGTCACGATGTGAACACCTCTCACCGTCTGCTACCGGACCGACGATGTCGGCGCGTGCGTGCACCATACGCATGACAGACGCTCACGTCACCAGTAGTGCGTGCGCGTTGCCAAGAACGCACAAATGTGCGAAGAGCGCATTAGAATGATAGAACGTACGCCAATGTGAAAGTTTTACACGCTAGAATCCTGCCAGTTAAGCAGGCCGTACCTAAGGCCAAGTTGAAAAAGTTGAATTTATGTTTTATTTCTAAAATCGTTACTTAAAAACTACCCTGATGACATTCAGGCCGTATGCAGAGTCTTAAAGTCATTTAGACTCTCACGTTGTGAGAAAACTAGCACGCAGTTCTGCTGATAAGAGTGAACGTATCTCCAATGATAAGTGATACCGTGAATCAAAGATATGAAATAGTATGACAGAACCTACGGACGCAACCATGTACAACATGAGTTATAAAGGCAAAGACGAGTGCAATAGCCTACATTAATGTTCTTCTTTACTTTTTTACTTTGTTAGTATCTACTTTCTTGTTAGTATGCCACTTCAGCGTTAATTTCAAAATGTAAAAAATAAATGTTACTACATTCATTAAAAAAAATTGAAAAATTACTATTTTTTTACTATTATTATTATTTAATACTATTATTATTTATTATTATTTTCATGTTCTTCATTATTTTTTATTGTTTGGGATTGGATGGGATGGGATGGGATGGGATGGGGTGGGATAGAAGATGATGGGATGGGATGGGATGGGATGGCATTGGTGGCATGGGGTGGCATGGTATAGGATGAGATGGCATGACATGGCATGGCATGGCATGACATGCGATGGATGGATGGATGGAGGGATGGCTGGCTGGATGGATGGATGGATGGATGGAGGGATGGCTGGCTGGATGGATGGATGCATGGATGGATGCATGGCTAGATACATAGATAGATAGATAGATAGATAGATAGATAGATAGATAGATAGATAGATAGATAGATAGATAGATAATAGTATAGATTAGATAGATAGATAGATAGAATAAGAATGTATAGATAGATAGATAGATAATAGATAAGATAGATAGATAGATATGATAGAATAGATAAGGTAGATAGATAGATAGATAGATAGATAAGATAGATTAGATATATATGAAGAATAGTATAGATAGATAGATAGAATAGATATATAGATAAGATAGATAGAAGATTAGATAGATAGATAGATAGATAGAATAGATAGATTAGATAAATAGATAGATAGATTAGAAGAATAGATAGATAAGCATAGATATATAGAGATAGATAGATCAGATAGATTAGAATAGATAGATAGAAGATAGATAGATAGATGAATAGATAGAGTAGATAGATAGATAGAATAGATTAATAGATATATAGATAGATAGATAAGATAGAATAGATAGATAGATACGATAAGATAGAATAGAGTAGATAGTATAAGATAGATAGATAGATAGACTAGATAGATAGATAGATAGATAGATAGATAGATAGATAATAGCAATAGATAGACAGATTTTGGCGCATATTTTCCTTTCAACCCACGTGTCACCAACTGAAGCCTTTTTCCCACTGCTCCACTTGAAAGAATTCAGCCTCTTTGTTTTCTTCCCAAAATGTTTTTTTTTGTTTCTGTTTCTTTTCAAGTCGCAAATGAGAATATTCTAATTTAAACTAGTGTCACTTTTACATTGAACGTTTTATTATTTTAAAGCAGCGATTTGGGTCAGGTTGTACCGGGTATTAGTATTCTAACTATAATACTATAACGTTCGTTCAGCTTGCTCCCGAATTACGGTGTGTTCGCGCAATAACTAGTAACCCCGGCAGCCTAGAGGAAACTAAATATATTTTCAGAATCAGCGACGTCCTGCGGAGGGTGATTTCTGCCCTGAACTCAAACATTCAAAAAAGCTTAAAAAGTTTTTACAAAATGTTTAAATTCCTATTCATCAATAATCGGCGTACCAGATTAATATTCATACATCACGTACGTGTGTAATCCATTGTGTATAACCGTAACGGCCCAGTAGCCGATATCGCAGCAAAGCATCGCTACTCCTAAAAACCATTGATTCTGGGTTTCGAATGCCCTACACTCGAAATCCTTTGTCTTCTTCCTACATTTTGAAGCTCTCTTAGTATTTACTTCTGCCGTTTCCCGTTAATTTCCAAATTTAAATTTTTCTATTACATTTAAACGTTTAGTAAAAATCCCAGAATAAACTATGGTAGTATCC